TCAGCAGCGGACAATGAAGACGGCTCTAAATTTGCTAAAACCTCTTTCATCCGTTTTCTTCTACTGATTTGATGCGCTTTTAATGTTAGATGCAGAACTGTCCAAAATCTACTCTTATACCTGCAAAATTGGGCAACAGTGGAGTAATTCGTAGTAAGTCCGCTTTTGCTTCATATTTGCGAGGCGCTCTTGAAGACCCATGGGTGCGCTTCCAAATTGAACTGGAGTTTGTTCAGTCCCTTGGCAATCCAGATTACCTGACCTGTATGCATGTTTTAAATGCACGATCAAAGCTTTAGTTCTGGCTCAGCAAGGCTGTTTTGAAAAACCAGAATTCGTGAACTATTTATCCTATTTGCAGTACTGGAAATCTCCATCATACTCGAGATTTATCACGCAAGTTGCAATTATTTCTTACTTTCAAGCATCAATACATTTGTGCCGATTTCATTAGCGCCCCATTTTGAATTGTTTGGTGCTTGCTGGTATTCGTTGCTACCTCCAATTTGCTTCTTTTGATTTCAAGGTACCCCTTTTGTCTGCACATGCTCGATCTTCTCCAATCTCCGGATTTTCGGCGTGAAGTGGCCCATGAGTCGGTGACTCGTTTCATTGACGATCAGATGTTACTTCACTGGAAAAACTACTTACGCAAACGGGCCGAGCTGGTTAGTAAGCACGTCCAAAGTCTGGACACCATGTCTGCGCCCGGTCCTGGCACTTCGAGTTAAAGTAGCTCAAATACTACTCATCAACATTTGTGCATCCTTGTACAGTTCTCATGCTTCTGCATCTCTTCTGCTTCATACTTATACTTTGTAGGAACATCAGTTAATCTGCTCACGATAATTATTCTCACTAAGGAAGAGAGATGTGACTCATTGATTGTAGAAAGGACTCTCCATTTTAGTCGTGATAGCAAATAAATTGCACATTGGGCTAAGTAGATTCTCTCTTTAAAATTAATTTTGGTAAACTTGTTTGGTGCCTCTTAAAGTCTGTTTTTTACTGGTTCACAGTTTTGTCCATGTAGGCGAACACTGAGAGTTTATGCGATTCTAAACAATCGCATACGATTTCTTTAAGGGTGTGATTGCTTTCGTGCATCACACAATAAAAGCGTGCGTTAATCCATTGACACCAACTATTGCCTAGCGTTATGCGTATTTGATTCTAATGTCTTCAATACTGTTGTTTTACCATAGGATCGGAGCGCATGTTATTGTCGGTTAGATGTTATCCATTTGTTCTAATTTAATGCTCATCAAGGGAACAGATATCTTTTCTCACTAAATCTGTTTAAGTCTAGTTCAATACTCCGCTTTTAGCATGGAGCCAAATTTATGCTACTAAAGTTCCGCGATGAAATTTTATAGTTTGTAGGTGAAGGAGCAGAAAATGGATATAGTCGGCAAGATCCAACTGGGATTGTAGTAACACCCAAATTAATGTCCAAATGAACTGTGATTGAGGCGTGTTAGCCACACGAGACAGGCTCGAGGCAGCCCCAGTTCCGCAGCACTTTTTATTGGGACTTGCTGCACGACAGTAGCAGGAGGCGCGATGACTACCAAAC